CGAACTTATTTAATGGCGATTCACGCTCGCCATGTCACAGCGCCGTCGTCAGCCTTTGCGACACTTATAGGCTTTTGTCTTTCTAGGCCTCAGCCCACCGCGCCCTAGTAGCCCTGCCGCTGCTGGGTTCGCGACTGCTTTTTCGTCAGACCCGAGAGTCCGCTTATTTCACAGCTAACCTTCACTGAAGGTAGTTCCACTATCCGCCACCTGTGGATGCGTCGGGTAGCCAGCAGCTAGGCTAACAGGTAACCCGTCTTCCAGGGTTAGTCCATTTCGGCAACCACTTACCACATATCCTACAATCACTTGTCCCACCTTCAGCGCTTCCACGCCATGACACGACTTTGTGCATCACATCCGAACCATTGGTTCTCCTGTTTTGTCGTCTAGCGCCTGCAGGACTGCCTGCCGCGAAAGCCGAGTTCAAGCATATGCTTCAGATGGACACCATCGGTCAATCTAAAAGCCTGTGGGCCTCGTCCCTCCAAATGACCTCAAAGGCTGCCATTGGTGCCTGGTATCTCTGTGCTGACTACAGGCGCTTGAAAAATTTCCTATCCCGGATCGCTACACCGGTCTGCATCTTCCGGATTGTGCTGATGCCTTTTTCGGCAAGTCTCTGTTCTTGAAGATCGACCGGGCTCAGGCTTTCCACCAGATATCTATAACCACAGAGGACGTTTGGAGTACAGTCTTCACCATCCCTTTGAACTTTCTGAGGTCCTGTGTATATCCTTTGGACTTCGCAATGCTGCCCAAACCTTCCAGAGGTTCATAGACAGAATGATTTGTCGCTTTCCTTTGTTTACGCCTACATTGACCGCAGCAAGTTCCACGACCATCGATAATATGGAACATCTCACAACAGCGTTTCACCGCCCTCAACAATTTGGCATTGTCTTCAACCTGTCCCAGTGCGTATTTGGGTTCCTTCCCTTGACTTCCTTGGACACCTCTGGTATCCATCCCATCCCTTCGAAGGTTTTTGCCATCCGCCACCCACCCCTTAGACCTTTTTGAGTTCCACCACTACCGACCACATGGAACATCCCGCAACGGCGACTGACCGCCTTCAACAATTTTGTGTTGTTCTCAAGTCGTCTAAGTGCGTCTTCGCCATTCCCTCCCTTGACTTCTTGGGACATCAACGTCATCCATCCTACCCCTTCGAAGGTTGTCGCCATCTGCGAGTTACCCCTTCCCTCTCCCAAGCGTCAACTCCAACGATTTCTGTACATGGTAAACTTCTATCGCAGCTTCCTATCTAAAAGTGCCGACGCCATCTTGCCTCTCACAAGCATCCTCTGGGGTACCAAAGGTTCGTTCGATCTATCCACAGACACCCTCACTGCTTTCGACAAGGCCAAGGCTGCCCTAGCCGACGCCACCCTTGTCACACACTCAGGCCCTTATGCTCCCATCTGCCTCGTGGTTGACGCTTCCAATTTCGCAGTACGCATGGTTCTCCAGCAGCACTTTGCAAGTTAAACCCAACCCTTAGTTTTCTTCTCAGTAAGTTCAAACCTGCCGAATCGCGCTACATAACATTTGGACGAGAGCCCCTTGCTGTCTACCTTACCGTGAAATACTTCCAGCACGTTCATGAGGGCAGAGACTTCACTGTGCTCCGTGGTAACAAGTCAGTTTCCTTCGTCTTGAACACAAATTCTGACAAGTTGAGTACCGAGGCATTCGCAAACTGGATTAAATCTATCAGTTCATCCCCGATATCTGCCACATAGACGGGTCACGCAATTAGGTGGCTAACGCACTGTCTAGACCGACCACTGGTCATCTGAAACTCACTCCTAGGATCGACCTAGCAGCCAAACAAGGCCGTTTTGTTTCACTCTGTGACGAGGACTCCAGCAACTCCACTGACTACGGGCAACATCCTCTGTGGCATCTCCACCACCTCCCATCGCTCCCTTGTGTCGCCATCCCACAGACGCAGCGTCCTCTCCTCCCTGCAAAACCTTTCACACTGGTTTCCGATCGCTTCGCTTCACCTGGGAGGCACAAGGACTAGAAAGCATGGACACGGGCATCTCCTGGCTGTCAAGAAATTAAGATGCGACGGCACGACAAAATTCCCATCGGCACCTCCCCCAACCCGGACGCAAGATTCAGTCGCGCCTACATACGCATTGTGGGCCCCGACTGTTCCTATCTCCTCATCCATGCGGATCGATTCATTTGGGGGCCGGAGGCTAATCCCATGCCCGATGTCAAGGCTTTCCTCAGTAGTTGGGTTTTCCCTCTTTGGCGTTTGTTACGACCCGCGCCTGGTACTTGTAATTAGCACGAACTATGAGCTAACCCAGCTGTTGCCCCGAGCGCATTGCCAACATTTACCTCTTTAAGAAGACACTTTAAGTAGACACATACCTCACGAACATCTGTGCATATTATCTTTTTCCAAGGTAAGGAAAAAATGAAAATGGGGATTTTAGAAAGCCTTCCCGAAAATATAACGTTATTTTCTAATAGTTTTTGTTACGACCCGCGCCTGGTACTCGTAATTAGCACGAACTCTGAGCCAGCTCGACTACTGTCTCGAACGGCAGCATGAGGGAAGAAGAGAAGCCAATTAGCCAGGAGAACTGTATATACAGAAAGCAAGTCAGGGCAAGTCAAGCGAATGATTCTCACAAAAAGCCTGCGGCGTATCTGTTCGGTCGCTTGATAAGAAGATGCATCGGCGACAGTGAAACAATCAGATGAGACGAAAAATTCGTAGCCACGGCGCGTGTTTTCATGACAGCGGCATGGAGTTGCACTAAGGGACCTATCCGTAAGATGACTAATTGTGTGGATGGGCACAGTCCCTACAGCACTTCCTCCACCATCCCTACAAACCACCGTTTCCAGTTTCAGTCCAACGCTTTCAGATCTCTTCTCTCCTTTTAAGACTGTACACGCATCTACACTACAGCCAGTCACCCGGCTGTCAACAGGATGCTCGAGGTTTTTCACGCGCCATGACCGATACGGAGAACTGGACGGACCATCTCCCGCTGGTCCCGGCGGGCATTTGCCCCTCACCCAGGGTAGACCATGATTGTTCCACCGTTGAACTGGTGTTTGGCGTCACTACCCGATTTTTTCGTGAGATGATCTAGCCATCAGCTCCAAATTCGGACAAGGTCCTACCAACCTCCTCCACTGTTTCCGGCAGTTTAGTCCGACACTCCCCCGGCCCTCTGTATCTTATCTGCAGAAAGAATTAGCAATATGCTCACGTCTTTCTGCAACGAGGTCTAGTTCGTCGGTCATTCGAACACCCCATGATGGCACCTTCTGGGCTGTTTCTCGAAGTGCACAAAGGTTCTGCATTCACCCCGGAACGCGCGGGGTCGGGATCGTGGGGAGCTTCAATGGTTTCCATTCCCCTGCTCCCCGTCTGCTAAATACTCCACCATGTCCGCTGCCATCAACTTTTACTTCTTTATCACTCTACAACGCAAAAGCAACAAGACAAACTCGCTGTTCGCCTGCATATATCATCCGTAGCGGATGTGACGTTAAGTTTCCTGACCATTTGATTATCCACGTATTTTACGCATGAACCAATCCTTCGGCGTCGCCACATGCCACATTCGGTTTAGCCGAGGGTTACAGTGGCAGTCCGCGATCACCATCACTAGGACTGGCTCTCCGTTTCTTCATCTTCCAAGCCCTGGCCATGCTAATCGGATATCGACATACCGTGAATGAAGGATGCAACTGTCATACCTGACCACAAAATAAATCAATTATATAAGTAAAGGACAATATATGTAAGTGCTGCATAAACAAATTATTATTATTGCAAAATATTGGATAGTTATAGGGCGTTGTTTGTAAGTTTCGTTTCAACCGTGGTTTATTCCTCCGTCCATTTCCAGTCTTGTCTTACATCGGGCTTTGTCAGTAAGATGGCGCTTGATACACTCGGATACAAATGTAGTGGCCTATAAAAACCTTATGAAACTCTACTCATTTATCGACTTACTGTTTTTAGAGCACCGTTCTATTGAGACCCGTGCGTGAGCTTTGTAGACGATTGCCTGGAGGCTGTGCCTGAGAAGAACACCTTAAAAAGTAAACAACTGTACTTACCAATGGCAGTGCCGCCGCGCTTGCGTCATCCATGTTTGCTCAGATGCCGCTGGGTATTGCACTGCCGTGCCCAGCTTTTCA